TCCTGGAACCAGGAGGCAGGTGGCGCTGGGGTCTCGGAAGAGTCCCAGGTGATGCCATGGGAGAGGTAAGTGGTCCAGTCCTATTCTGGCCATGGCTTAGCTCACTCCCACCCCACTCTCTCCAAGCCACCAGAGTGCACACACCGGGCTATTTCTAACTCCTGAGCCTTTTCAAGAGTTCCATGGGGTTTGTCTGCCCAGGCTCACCTGGGCATCCTTGGAGTCTGGGTCCCTCTTATGTAGATGCCACAATACCTGGGGCTCCCAGACAGAGCTTCTGCTTGCTGTCTGCCATGCCCCACAGAGCTGGGGGCCAGACATAGAACCCTTCCCCTACCAGAGGTTTGTGTAAGGGCCTAACACCAAGGAGAAGGGGGAGGGGAGCTGGCAGGGAGGTCTGCTTCAGTAGGGGAGTCCTACTTCAGTAGGAAAAGCCAGGGGGCAGTTAGGGGCCAATAGTGCCGCTGCTCTCTCCAAGCTGAAAAGAGGGGGTCGTTTCCTTCTTCACCCTTACAGGACCGCATCACGGGGAGCATAGGACCTGTGTGCACTGCAGGATCTGTGCACAGGGAACCCAGGACCTGTGCACTGAAGGGCGGGGCAGCGATACGGCGCCGGGTTGCGGCCCCGGCCCTGGCTGTGCGGCGACTGGACCGGCCCCAGGGTCTACAAACCCACCCTATACGAGCAGCCAGTGCTCAGGCCAGCGGTGCGTGCGCTGGGCGCGGGAGGAAGGTGCAACCCTGGCTTTAACCGCAGACCCCGAGCTCACCGCGCCCGCGCCTCCCCCACCACGCTGAGCCCACGGGTCTTCTCCCCGCTCTGTGGCTGGAGACCGAGGGGCGGGGAGGCCACAGCACGGCGGCCCCCACCTGCCTGTCCACGCCCACACCGGCCATCCAGAAAGCTGCGTTCGTCGGCGTCGCGAGCCAAGCACCTTCGTTGAATGGAAGAGCGACTGGGGCGCGCCCAAGGAGCCAGGGTCTTTCGAGAGGCGTCTGGAATCAGAGAGGTGGGGACGGAGCCGGGAAGAGACGACAGAGCCTCTGGAGTGCCCACCTCTCCCGGCTCCAGCGAAGGTCATTCCTCTCGCCTCTGCTTCGCTGAAACTCGGTCCCCAAAGGCACAGCCTCGGAACTGCAGGCAAGGGAGGAGCCGCTGACTGCTGCAGAATCGCAGGGTACAGGCTGCTCCTGGTGCGGGGTCTCCCTGCGAAACCCCTGGGGCCGAGTCCTAGGCAAGCAGCAGAGGCAGTTCCTGGCTAATCAATCCTGAAATGAATGAATTTGGACAAGTAAAGCCCAGCCCCCCTCTGTCTGAGCCCTGAGTGACGCAGCCCAGTTCTGCCCCGCTGCAAACTCCGAATCCTAGGAGAGGAGGTCCCCAGTGCGCCACGCACTCACATCCTGTGGGCTCCCTGTACAGATCCATCCTTGTGCCCTTTTGCCCCAGATGGCCTGAGACCCGCTGGGGCGCGAGTGGTGCGCACCTTGACTTAAGCAGCACGTGAGCGCAAGGATTGGTGGGGCTTCGAGCCTGCCAGAGATGCACGAGGGTGCGCGGGTCCCTTCAGGGCTGGAAACCGAGAGGCGGGAGTGAATTCTGAGCTGTGGGCGCGGAGCTGTGGATGTGCTTTTACAGTGGGCAGAGAGTGAGGAGTGGGGTCCCCGCCAAAAGAGTGTGAGAGTGCCCGTCTTGACGGCTTGTGGGAGCCACTTGTGCTCTAGCGAAACGGGGCTGGGCAGACAGCGGGGCAGCCAAGGCTGTCCTCTCCTGCGCGCTGGGGAGAAAACATCCGAAATACGGCTTGCTCCAGGCGAAACTCCGAAGATGCTGGGGGAGGAGAGTGGTGAGTGAGCCGAAGCACGCAAGTCTCCTGGGCAGTACTGGGGCACAAACCTGCACCCACGTGGGACCCTTGCAGGGCCCAGAGGGAGAAACAAAGGCTGTGGCCCTGTCCCCGCCAAGGAGAAGCCCCGGTCCCAGTCCCAGCCCCAACTGCCCCCGTTCCCACTCCCGCCTTCTGCCGGACTTCTAGTCTCCACCTCGTACCAATGAGCTGCCAGTTAAAGCCGAGCCTCGGTTTTAGGGCCTGCAAAATGGTCTCACAGCACCCACCTCACAGCCAGCCGGCGCGGCGAAATGCGGGTCTTGTCTTCACTCTGCGCCCCAGGCAGAGGGGCGGGCCGCGCAGCCCAGGCCCCAGCAGTGCACCACGCCCTTAAAAGGCCATCCCTGGAGGCTCTGGACCCCCGGCCGTGCTCGGCTCTCCTGGCCAGCGGAGCCAGGCCTCCTACCTCGCGGTAATGGAGGCGCGGCCGGCAGGGGGAGCGATGCGGAAGGGAGCCCCGGCGGGTCCAGGTGAGGGAGGAAGTATTCCCGCAGGCGGCGGCGAGGCGTGCGCGCGCGGGACGGTGTGTGCGGGGTGCGGGACCACCAGCGGGTGCGTTTCCTCGGGTCTGCGGCCGTAGCGAAGGCTGGACGGTGCGGGCGGTTAGGAGCGCGGGCAGCTGGAGGGGCGGCAGAGCGTGGCGGAGCGAGAGGGCGGAGCGGCGCCCCAGGAGGGACGGAGGGTGGGTCGGAGGAGTGCAGCCCCGGTGGGCGGTAGAGGCAGTGGCTCCGCCGCAACTGGAGGCTCGGGCGGCCTCGCTTTTCGGGCCCTTTGGGGCCCCTCCAAGTCGAAGGATCCAGAAGGGACCGCGCGTGAAGCTACAGGGTCCAGGATTCTGAGTATCGGCAGCTGCTGGAGCGCGGTCGCTAGACAAACGGAGCGGCCTGGATGGGACCCCTCACCTCTTCCCAGCGCCCTGTGGTGGACCCCGCAGAATCTTCACTGCTGTGGCGCTTTTGATGACTTAGCCAGGCCCGGCAGGTCCCAGCTCAGGCAAGAAGGGGTTAATGAGGGACTCGAATGACTCCCTCTCCCCTCCACTGCCTCAGAGGTGGAGCACCAGGGACTTTGGGATGGCCCCCAGAGGTTGACCCAGAGTCTTCAGGAAGCCCCAGGGTTTTTCACTTTCACTTCTCCCGTCTCAATATTGGCCTCTGCCTTCAGGTATTCACCCAGGCACGTGAGGAAGTCTCCCCCCAGGTGCAGAAAACACATGCTAGGACAAGGTGGATCCCAGATTACGCACAACCACAAAGCAGGAGCCCACCCCACCAAGCCCCTACAGGGAGACCCACACATAGACTGTGGGTATGTGCAGCAACCAGCAATAGGTACCCCAGGTGACAGCCCTGCACACCTCTCTGGGTACAGACCGCCTACACGGGGCACACCTCCTGCAACCCTGCCATGACTGCCCCCCACCCCCACCCCCCCATGTCTCCTCCCAGCTGGGCTTTCTCTTCTATCAGGAGCAACACCTCCTGGGGTCCTGGAGAGAGTGGGCTGGCCCTGCTCAGGGAGGAGGGACAAGGATCTCGAGCCTGGCTAGTCCCCATATCATACTCCTCCCAGAACCTGCCCCTAGGCCCCATAAGTCACTGTCACTGTCACAGCCCTGAACAGCCAGCCACTCAAGGCTGAGAGAATGCCCTAGCAACAGCTTTGCTTTCCCTCCACAGTCCACAAAGCTGCCACTGCAGCCTGGGGGGGCAGGGAGGGGGCTCACCGTACATGAGGTCACACACACTACACCCCAGTCACACCGCACTATCCACGTGCTCACTGGCTGCACTCTGGCCTCATACTCTTTCCTAGACCTCAGGCCCAGGAGCCAGTCCCTTTCCACTGGAGCCTACTCCCTAGTCCCTAGTTCCTGGGCCTTCCCCACCTGCCAGCCAGTAACCCCTCCAGCCTGGGGTCTGAGGCCTTGGGATTGTAAAAACCCTGGGAGAAGATGCCTGCCCCCCACCTCCACCCAGACAAGCACAGGCAAACAATGTGGTTGCAGGCAGAGAGGCCTTGAAAAGGAGGACCTTACTGCCAGAACCTCAGTGCAGGACCAGAGGCTCCTGAGAGGCAGGGAGGCTTGACACCCTGATGGGGAGACCCTGGTCAAGAAGCCCATGGATGCCTGATCTGGTCAGAAGAGAGGCTGTAGCAGCAGTAGGTGGGGGAAGGCACAGGCCAAGTCAGGCCTTAGCATCTGAGATGCCTAGGCCTAGACGCCCTCAGGCCTCAGGCAGGCAGGCCTTAGCTCATTCTGCTGGGCCTAACTGCCCCAAGCAGGCAGGCTGGCTGTGGGGTGGGTGGCGAGCGAGGGGCAGCACACCACTGGACCTAGAGGCCTGAACTCCTCCGACGACGTGTCCTCGGCTCCCTCGGCCAGTGCAGGCCCCGCCCCCGGCCCTCCCTGAGCCAGGCCGGTGCGTGGGGAGGTCGGAGGAGCGGGCACTGCCCACCCTCCGGATGTATAAGCGTCCTGGTCAGAGGCGGGCGGTGCGCGCCCGGGTGCGCGTGACGCTTGGGCTCCCGGGCTGCGCAGCCTGGGCAGCGCCCCTCTCTGCTTCGGGTCCCCAGTCAGGACAGTGAGCCGACTGAAGGGGGCTGGGGGTGTTTGCTGGGCTGGGTCCTGTTCTGCTGCGCCGGAGGACAGGACGACACCACGGCCCTGGGGTTGTCCGCCTGCCGCCAGTGCTGGAGCCCGAACTGCCCTCTCCTCACCCAGGTGCAGGGGCAGCCAGGGAGGAGGAGGCGGGAGGGGCTGAGGGCAGGGGCAGGGCCGGGCCCAGGCAGCCCCTCGGCGCTTTACCGGTGCTCAGCTGCGGTGTGCTGGGACTGGGCGCTCCTGGTATAGCCGCCTCCCCTCTGGGGCTGTAGAAGCTGACAGTGGCTTTACCATACAGAGGGAACCCCAGCCTCGGTGGGAGCAGTGGGATGTTCGAAGGGCGATGGTCATGGAGGTCCCTGGGAGCAGAGGTGAGGGGCCAGGAGCTTGAAAAGCAGAAAGGCCCTGTGCTCCCAGTGAGCTCCACCCGACTGGGCCCCTTGGCTGCCACTGGCCAGGAGTGGGGGGCTGTGACGCCATAATCCCCTGGGCCCGGCTGTGGCTATGACTGGCACCAAAGGCTCCCGCCCCCGGGTCCCGTGGGCTGGGCCGGCCTCGGTGCGGCTGGGTGCACGCAGTCGGAGGCGGCGCCGGCCAGGCCGCCGGGCGCCTATGGACTCGCGGAGCCCGCTGTCTCCCCGGGCCAGCGCGTTCAGCATCGCCTCTCTGGTTGCAGCAGAGGCCGCAGAGCGCACCGCTCGCTTGGGCCCCGGGTCCTCCGACCCGGTGAAGCTTCACCGGCTCCTGGAATCCCCGGCCGGGATGCACTTCAGCACCGTCACCAGAGACATGGAAGGTGAGCCTCCCCGAAGCGTCTACACCTACCGCCGGCCAGACCCTTGCCTCTGCTGCCGTGGGACCCCAGCAAAGAGGGTTGGCAGGGCCCCGGCGCAGAGCGGGTGGCGGGGAGCTCTGGCAGAGTGGGATCCAGGCTTCCAGCTTCAACTCTGGGGCAGAGGAAGGGCAGGCATCCTGCCCAAAGCCTGTGCACCCTCCAGCCTGGGGACCCAGCTGCAGAGACCCGCACACAACCAGACATAGACCCAGAAGAGGGCTAGTGGAGGCCGGGAAGGACAAGAGAGGCGGATCAGAGAAAGGTAGCAGAGGTTGCTTAGAGCTCGGAGAGGTGGGATGAAAGTCACACAACAGGAGAGTGCCAGAGTCAGGGAACACAGGACTAGGAAAGAAAGTGGCGAGGCAGCCAGGAGGTGAAGAAATTGAGAAAAGGAGAGAAAGGAAAGAAAACACAGAAAACCCAAAAGGAGAGCAGGAAAAAGAAGAACGAAAAAAAAAACAAAGGGCAAGAAGAAAGTGAAGTAAAATTTAAGTAAAGTCATTTTAAAAAGAAAAAATTAGACTTCACGTTTTGTGTTTTAAAAAAAGAGAAAAAAACCATGAATAACAAGGACATACAGAAATAAGAGGGAAAAAAGCAGACTGAAAAGAAAGACAAAGAGTGATGAAAAATTAAGCGGAAAAAAAAAGAGTGGGACATAACAGGAAAAAGAGGAAGAGGCAGAAAATCAAACAGTAATAAAGAGAAACGAAAGAGATAGTGGAAGAAGGAAATACGGTTAGGAGGGAAAATTTAAACGAGGAAGACAAAGGTAAAAAAATAAACTAGAAAGAGAGCCGGGAGAAAGAAGGGAGAAGTGCAACGCGGGAGGGCGGCAGAG